CTCTTTAGACCGAAATATAGTTGCCGCTATGGCCGAGATGCGAAAATATCAGGCCTTGGCTATAACTGAGCGACATGTGGCGGTCATCTCTGCAAATGGACTGATCTCTGAAGAACTGATTTCATGCAAGGCTTGGCCTTGAACTGGCTCATTCAATCAATGCCAAAGATTGTTCTCCTGAGTACTGAACGTATCGTAAGTTTTTATTGATATAACTTCACGTTGAATATTGACAGCCCAAGTTAGCAAGCAAAGCAGGCACCTAGGTTCTCCAATAGCAGCAGGCACACCCGGTGTCTGCTGTTAAGACACCTCCCTAAGTGAGAGACTTTAAAGATGATTATTATGATGATAATAAACTTTATATATGGCTGAAATGGACTACTTCACATTCTAATTTTCAGTCTATAAACAGTGCCTACACCATATTATCACCATATTATTACCCTTGGTATTCTCCTAATACCAAGGGTAGCGAAAGTTCCAATCTAACAATAGCTTTTTATATTTCAAATTTTGGTGATGTAAAAATATAGTTTTAAAAATGTTTTAAGTTTTACACTAGAATGTTCTTTTCTTGTATCTCTCTTAAAAATTATAAGTTTTGTAATATATATTTAAAAACAACATGGATTTCACCTACCTTCAAACAACCACTTTTTAGCACTTCATAAATAGCACCCCTGTGCTATTTTTAAGAACTATTTAACTAATTTTACTTTTTTAATCTACTAACTATTTAACTTATTGCCCCAGATCCTTTGTATCCCTGTATTTTAAATGTACAAATAGACAAAAAAAACTGAAACAATTTATCAAAATAAAAGTGTTCTTTAAACTATCCCCCCCTCCCCTGACACAGACAAAAAAAGAATTCATCAAACATATTCACCAACACTGTTGCTGGGTTTCGAAACGTATGTTCACGTTTACACTTTTCTCCTGAAACAGCTTCAAAAAATGACAGATAACCTCGTGTGGGTTTTCCTCTTAACCCAAGAGTGCTCGCAACATATCTTTCAGATATAGCTCTGTTTTGTGAATGTGAATTATCAGAAGCTCTATTTACTGATTTATTTTATTTAGTTTGTACATGTCCCCATATGTCATAGTTAATGAATCCTACACTGCAGAAATCTTGTCTAAATGCTTATGATGAGAAAGATAAAAATTGACAAAGAACATGCAAAATCATTAAATTTCTCATTAAATAATATTAAATACAATTTCCATAAATTATTTTGGTATGTTCTAAACACACATTTATTTTACAATTTTCACAAAAATATTTAGGAAGTCTTTTGTTTCTGTTTTAAAAGATTCACTTTTTTTTTTTTTCTTTCCCTTCATTTTCCTGCTGATGTCACTTACAAATCATCCTTCTCTTTAGGAAGATATTGTGACAGTCAATCCTAGATTAGACAAATGATTAAATTTCTGTTGGTGCTTCTCATAGAGATGGCTGAAAATCATACCATGAGCTCAGAATGCATTTGCGCCATTGCACGCAACGTATCTGACATATATAGCACAGCGATCAAGTATCAACATGCTCACGGAAAATGATTTCAGAAAAGGAGAAAAATAGAAGGTCAGACTTTCTCAGAAAAGTTCGATGAAGGAATACATGAAATATCAGACGACTAATGCATTACAACTCAGGAGCATAAAATTGCTATGGCTTGGATCTCGCAGACCTATTGCGAGCACTCAGGTGAAGAACCATTTCCAACCATGTTCTCCATATTAATCATTGACTCGTCGAAATTAACACACTGTTACATGATGCTTCTGAAAATTATTTTACAGCGCAAGTGCATAGCAGCAGGTCTTTATTTCCACATTTTATTACTTTGCCTATATTTTAATTATAATTGCAGAATATGTATTCTTATAACAAAAAAAAAAAGTTTTGTATCATAGCATCGGCAACTATATTTTCCAGAATCCCAATAACATTTTTCTCAAAGGCAAACTATTATATTCGGGTGGAAACAAAATGGAGATAAAACATCACCTTATTTTTGAATTAGGAAAGATCAAAGAGCCACAATTTGTTGGATGCCTTTACCAGTAAATCAATGATAGCTGTGGTGCAAATGAAATCAGTTGTTCAGAGTCAAATTTCTATAATTACTCTAATCTATAATCTGACTTTGGAAAATCACGAAATCTCTGATTAAGTTACCTACAGTTGTGATTACCTTAAGGCTATGTTAATAGGTTGAAGAATATTTTTCAGCTCCTCTTCCTTATCATCATCTGCTTCAACTATAAAAGCTTCTGCTGCGAGCTGACATTCAATTTATCTATTAAACCCCTCATCTTCACGAACAGTATCTTCATCAAATTCACAATGGAGTAATTAGAAAATTCGCAACAACGTAACCAAGAATTCAATTGAGATGTGCAACTATACTTAACAGTCATGAACTATCACAATTTAAAGACTTGGAAGAGACGTTTTAAATATCCTCTTAAATAGAGCAATATACCACTGAAATTTGTAATATTAGATCAGTAAATCGGTCTTTGCTGAAAACTGAACAGAAATCCTAATTAAACAGAAAAAAGTCATTGAATAAAATGAGATGAGGTACATTTCCATTATTCATTTACCTTACTAAAAAGATTAAACACATTCTTTGTAAAAATAAAAAAAATATTAAAAACCAACATAGTTTATTATCTGTGTTTATACACTAATTTCTTGACAATCCACTTCTATACAACTGGTTCTATGAGAAAACGGCACAAAACTTCTTTGTTTCTTTATAACAATTATGCTTTGAAAGTAATTTTTCATACATAAGAAACCATCACAATAATGGGGTAAAATGAATTATTAAATTGCAAGGGAAAATTAGTATAAATCAAACTTCAGATCAATCAACAACCAAGGCCATTTTTTCACAACAGCATTTACGCATATGTACCGTTTTCTCACAGTCCATCCCCAAATGATACTATGCAGGGTTTGCATAAGTTTGCAATGAGTTCCTTTGAGTTTTGTAATGTAAATCAATAAGAAAAACTATACAACACTTTGATGAACCACACAAAATAAAAATAATATTATGTTAGTAATGCTTATCACGCTAGCTTACATGTGTTTCATTAATATAACATTTCTTGGGTAAGATTATAGGATCATTGCTAAAGAGCTATCATGTTTGTGGAAAAAGATGTATAAATGGTACACACACCTTTTGCCAATGCACCACAACATTTTCAAAAATATTACTACTAGTTCTTAGACTAGAAGAATGGTTTTGTTATGACTTTCTTCTAGGAAGAGGTAGAACAAGAGGTATGGCATGACAGAAATGGGTGTTTACAGTCCATTCTCATCCTATCTCGCAATTCTCCACACACACACATCCTCACAGATAGAATATATAAATGAGCGATTTCATATTTGGCACGTTAGTGTGAATTATGCCGTATGTGAGTGAGTGCCAGCAACTGTCTGGGCAAAAGGTATTTTGTGATCATAAAAGAGTATGCAGTGACGTAACATTCTGTTTATCTTTTGTGCTTTTATTGTTCAACCAATCTTTTTATAACAAACCTGTAATTTCGAAAATGGTATGCCTTCTTTTGAGAAACCCAGACCCACACGTTACATATATTCTACTAGATAACACGGAATATAAGTGCGATGCATGCCCGCTTCTGACTACCAAAATCCCGACAGCCATAATATACAAAAATATCTTGAGTCAAGTTCAACAACACAGGGCAAATAAACACACTGATCGCTACAAAATCAGCAAGTGTAGGGCACAAAATAGACAATCAAGGGAGTGATTCAGTTCAATCCTTATAATAGTATCAAGATAAAATACATAAAACTGTAGATGTTTCAAAAGAGGGAACTAGCTTGTAATGTGCTAGCTTGTAATGACTAGGTAGTGTTCTGCAAGTACCAAAAAACAACTTGTACAACATCGAATGCCAATATAGGCAAAAGGACATCTATGAAAATGAGAGGAAGGCAGAAGAACCCTTTGGAGAATTTGATGCAATCACCTTCTAAAGGACCTGATGACCATCATACAGAATACAATCTGAACCATCGAACACATTTCAATCGGTGGTCACAAAACAAAATTTAGGCACAGGAAACACATTGTGGGAAAGATATGTTGAGCCATATTCTCAAAGTATCTCAACATGTGACATGAATGGGAGACAAAGTCAAATGTGGCCTCATGATAAGAATAAATTCTTCAGAAGATTTTGTAAATGACAACATAAAGATGCTGAAAAAGCAGTTCACCAGTACAAGTGCATGGATTTCCTGGTAGTTGCAAGGAATATGCTCTACACAGGGTATTTATGTGCAGTGACAAATAATCAATTTAAAACTCACTTTTTGGGACATGAAATTGCAGTTAGCAGAGCAACAGCCCATGCCATTGCTTTTCTAAAAACCATTGTCCCATATATAAACACTCACAAAAACCAATGCTACACACCACACATTTTCATGAAAACACATTGGTTTCAGAAGTGAAACAATTTATTATTAAGAAATTGTAAATATATTCATTATTATAAATTACTACTTCTGACTTAATCACCCATTTGCACTTCTGGGAAACCAAACACAGAGATATACGATACCAACATTTTTCAACATGCATAACTACAATTATCAATATTACAATAAACATGCCTGCTATATATGTTGCCAGCATGACCGCAAAGTGTTTAAGATCTGAGCAACAATTCTTGCATTGTAATATTTAAGAGTCTGTCGAAAAATGGGCCACTCTCAAGTCAGCCAAACGCGGTCAAGAGTGAATTGATTATTTCGGCAAACGATGCTTACGCATGGTGGCAGAGCGGCCACGCAGTGTCGCGCCAGCCGGGCAGCCCGGATCTACAGCGCAGTCGAGTTGAAACGCAACGAGCCATACGAGCGCTGGCGACTTACAGGGCCGAGCCTCCGCAGGCGGCTAGCGGCGCTGGGCCTGGGCGAGCAGGCGGCGCACGGCCTCGGAGCGCGCGAACTCGGCGGCGGCAGAGCCAAAGCGGTAGGTGCCGAGCTGGCGCTGCGCGGCGGGGTCGGCGCCGGCCTCCAGCAGCACGCTCACCGCCGCCGCGTCGTCGCGCTGCACCGCCAGGTGCAGCGCCGTGTAGCCGTTCACGTCGCGCTCCTCCGTGTCCGCGCCCTCCTCCAGCAGCACCGCCACGCAGTCGGCGTGGCCGCACTGCACGGCGCGGTGCAGCGCCGTCGAGTCCTTGTGGTAGCACGTGTTGGGGTCGGCGCCCACGTGCAGCAGCGCGCGCAGCACCGCCGGCCGTCCTTCCTCCACGGCGCAGCGCAGCGCCTCGGCGCCGGCGTCGCCGCGCACCGCGCCGGGCACCGCGCTCGCCAGCGCCCACACCATCTCCGGGTGGCCGCCCGACGCCGCCTCCAGCAGCACGCTGCGCCCGGCCTTGGTGCGCAGCAGCGGGTCGGCGCCGCCGCGCAGCAGCGCCTCCACAACCTCCACGCGCCCGGCGCCTGCCGCGCGCTGCAGCGGCGTCTCGCCGCGCATGTTCACCGTGTTGGCCTGCGCGCCGCGCCGCAGCAGGAGCGTCACCACTTCCACGTTGTGCATGTCCACCGCCAGGAAGATGACCGGGTTGCCCGCGCGACTGCGCGAGTTCGGGTCGGCGCCCTTTTCCAGCAGGGTGCGGGCCACCTGCAGACAGCACAGCCACGTCACCCTCAAAGGAAGCCATAGTTACACAGAAATCCTCAGAATTGTGTGACGTTCTTGCTTGTCACTGCACTTTAGCTTGGCATGCACAACCCAAAACAAAAGGCGACTATATTTCCAGGCCTGCTTACACAATCTACATAACTGTTTCTACACATTACAATTAAGTAGTACACTGGGTATCAAAAAGGGAAAAAAATGATTTTAACAATTATTTTTAAGGGATTAGTTACTATTTATACTATATAATTTTAAAACACTACGTTTGTCTAAACTGTTTCAAGTTTGCCTTCACTTATTGAGCAAATGCTGGCATGGCCGCTTCTTTTGCTTCGGACATACATTGTGGCCTTAAATTAAAAAGGTTCTAACTTCTTTCAACATAACTTTTTGCAATGTTCATAATGGTAGCAATGAAACTTACATAACCTCTACGTTACATTAATGTTTTTTTTATATTTAGTTTCTGAGATTAGTAAAATTGTACTATCTGCAAAAGTTGTGTTCATATCCGTAAAATTTACTGTAATGCTGATAGAACCTTTTTATTTAAAAGTCATGATATGTGGTTCCCTGCCCCTCGCACTCGAGTTAAGAAAACCAAACCACGGCAAGGAAGGTAAAGAGGGGCTTCTCCGCGCCAACAAACCTCCGGGCGCTGCGACGTGACGGCGGCGACCAGCGCGGGCTCCCCCTTGAAGTCGAGGGCGTTGGGGCGCGCGCCCCGGTCGAGCAGGGTGGCCAGCACGTCCACGTGGCCGTCGGCGGCGGCCAGCACCAGGGGCACGGCGCCGA